CCTATTTATTATTCTCTTGAACAACATGATATATATATATATATATATATATATATATATATATATATATATATATATATATATATATATATATATATATATATATATATATATATATATATATATATATATATATATATATATATATATATATATATATATATATATATATATATATATATATATATATATATATATATATATATATATATATATATATATATATATATATATATATATATATATATATATATATATATATATATATATATACACATATGTGTGTGTGTGTGTGTGTGTGTGTGTGTGTGTGTGTTTAACAGTTTGTTGTGAAATGATGTTGTCAAAAACATAACAACGTTATGCGATAAAGATTGAGTTTCTTGAACAAACACAAGAAAACCTATTAGATTTCAAAAAGGAAAAGAGAAGAATGAAGAAGAATAGGGAATTGGTTAAATATGTTTTAAAATTCACTTTCTTAATTAGGGTTAAAAGATTACAAGTGAATACCAACAATTAACCTCTCTCACCCTAATTAGAAATTTCACCACCCTTACAAAGATGAGAGACTGCCATGCTATTTAAAAGAAAACTAACATACTAACCCGATGGTCTTTTACACACTGGCCCATTAGATAAGCTTACTTAGGGAACAAGCTAACATAAACAATTGGGTACAATCAAGGCCCAATTCGACATACTAACTTAAATTACAAGTTAATATATTTTAACAGTATGCTCGAATAGACATCGACTACAACATACAAGCTCAATATGTGAACATACTTCAACTACATACTAAACCCTTTTTCGAACCATGAAACTACCATTATCGACACTAGAGTTTGATCCAAATACAATAAATTTACATCTTGGAACAAACTCTACACAACAAGGGAACAAACAAGTTTTCATCTTGCAATTTTATCAACTACATACAGTGGAAAAACTTGCTACTCAGAAATGTCTTATCCTTCTTTGATATGGTAGCGTCCATCTTCTCCGATCCTTTCAACGCTTCTAACAAACCATGTAGAACAAGAAGGCCTTGCATCTTCAAGCACCACAAACCAAAATCGTTCACACCGATCAATTTCTCAATCTCATATTTTGTTTACAACATCTTCTCCTCCACGCTCACCGCACCAGTTTGTTGTGAAACGATGTCGTCAATAACAAAACAAATTTATGAGATAAAGATTGAGTTTCTTGAACAACCACAAGAAACCCTATTAAGTTTCACAAAGGAAAAGAGACAAATGAAGAAGAATAAAGAATTTGTTAAATATGTTTTACTATTCACTTTCTCAGTAAGGGTTCAAAGATTACAAGTGAATACCAACAATTAACCTCTCTCACCCTAATTAGGATTTTCATCACCCTTATAAAGATGAAAGACTAGCATGCTATTTATAAGAAAACTAACATACTAACCTAATAGGCTTTTACACACAGGCCCATTACACAAACTAACTTAAACAATTGGGCTTACAAGCAAGGCCCAATTCGACATACTAACTTAAATTACAAGTTAATATATTTTGACAGTATGCTCGAACAGACTTCGACTGCAACATACAAGATTAGTGTGAACAAACTTCAACTTCATACTAAACCTACTTTCAAACAATGAAACTACTTTTTTCAACACTAGAGTTTGATCGAAATACCACAAATCTCCACCTTGGAACAATCTATACCCTAACAAGGGAACAAACCAGTTTTCATCATGTAGTTCTATCAGCTACATACAGTAGAAAAACTTGATACTTGGCAATGTATTCTCATTCTCCGGTAGGGTAGCGTCCATATTCTCCGATCCTTTCAACACTTCTAACAAACTCTGTTGAACAAGAAGGCCTTGCATCTTCAAGCCCCACAAAGCAAAATCATTCAAACCAGTGAATTTCTCAATCTCATACTTTGTTGACGACATCTTCTCCTCCACGCTCATTGCTTCAGTTTGTTGTAAAACGATGTCATCAATAGCAATACAAAGTTATGAGATAAAGATTGAGTTTCTTGAATAAACACAAGAAACCATATTAGGTTTCACAAAGGAAAAGAGAAGAATGAAGAAGAATAGAGAATTGGTTAACTATGTTTTACTATTCACTTTCTCAATAAGGGTTCAAAGATTACAAGTGAATACCAACAATTAACCTCTCTCACCTTAATTAGGATTTTCTCCATCCTTACAAAGATGAGAGACTATCATGTTATTTATAAGAAAATTAACATACTAACCTAATGGGCTTTTACACACAAGTCTATTACACAAGTTAACTTAGGGAACAAGCTGACTAAAACAATTGGGCTTACAAGCAAGACCGAACTCGATATACTAACATAAATAACAAGTTAATATATTTTGATAGTATGGTCGAACAGACTTCGATTACAGCATACAAGATCAGCATGTGAACAAACTTCAACTTCATACTAAACTTTCTTTCGAAACATGAAACTAACTTTTATGACACTAGAGTTTGATCCAAATACCACAAATCTCCACCTTGAAACAAACTCCACACTAACAAGGGAACAAATAAGTTTTCATCATGAAGTTGTATCAACTGCATACAATGGAAAAACTTGTTACTCGGCAATGTCTTATCATTTTCTGATAGGACAACGTTCACCCTCTCCGATCCTTTCAACGCTTCTAACAAACTCTGTTGAACAAGAAGATCTTACATCTTCAACCGCCACAAACCAAAATCATTGACACCTGTGAATTTATCAATCTCACGCTTTGTTAATGATATCTTTTTCCTCCACCCTCACCCCACCAGTTTGTTGTGAAACGATGTCGTCAATAACAAAACGAAGTGATGAGATAAATATTGAGTTTCTTGAACAAGCACAAGAACCCTATTAGGTTTCACAAAGGAAAAGAGAAGAATGAATAAGAATAGAGAATTTGTTAATCTGTTTTACTATTCACATTCTCAATAAGGGTTCATAGATTACAAGTGAATACTAACAATTAACCTTTCTCACCCTAATTTTGATTTTCATCACCCTTACAAAGATAAGAGACTACCATGCTATTTAAAAGAAAACTGGCATACTAACCTGATGGTCTTTTACACACTGGCCCATTACATAAGCTTACTTAGGGAATAAACTAACATAAACAATTGGGCTTACAATCAAGGCCTAATTCGACATACTAACTTAAATTACAAGTTAATATATTTTAACAGTATGCTCGAACAGACATCGACTACAACATACAAGCTCAATATGTGAACATACTTCGACTACATATTAAACCTTCTTTCGAACCATGAAACTACCATTGTCGACACTAGAATTTGATCCAAATACAATAAATTTACACCTTGGAACAAACTCTACACAACAAGGGAAAAAACAAGTTTTCATCTTGCAGTTTTATCAGCTACATACAGTGGAAAAACTTGCTACTCAGAAATGTCTTATGCTTCTTCGATATGGCAGCGTCCATCTTCTCCGATCCTTTCAACGCTTCTAACAAACCATATTGAACAAGAAGGCCTTTCATCTTCAAGCACCACAAACTGAAATCGTTCACACCGATGAATTTCTCAATCTCATACTTTGTTTACAACATCTTTTCCTTCAAGCTCATCGCACCAGTTTGTTTTGAAATGATATTGTCAATAACATAACAAAGTAATGATATAAAGATTGAGTTTCTTGAATAAACACAAGAAACCCTATTAGGTTTCACAAAGGAAAAGAGAAAAATGAAGAAGAATAGAGAATTGGTTAAATCTGTTTTACTATTCACTTTCTCTATAAAGGTTCAAAGATTATAAGTGAATACCAACAATTAACCTCTCTCACCCTAATTAGGATTTTCATCACTCTTACAATTATGAGAGACTAGCATGCTATTTATAAGAAAACTAACATAATAACCTAATGAGCTTTTACACACGGGCCCCTTACACAAGCTAAGTTAGAGAATAAGTTAACTTAAATAATTGGACTTTCAAGCAAGGCACAACTCAGCATACTAACTTAAATTACAAGTTAATATATTTTGACAGTATGCTCGAACAGACTTCGACTATATAACATACAAGATCAGCATGTGAACAGACTTCGACTTCATACTAAACCTTCTTTTGAACCATGGAACTACATTTGTCGACACTAAAGTTTGATCTAAATACCACAGGTCTAAACTTGAAAAAAGGGTTTCACGAATATTATGCCTTCACTATTCAAGTCACAAAACTCTATGATTCGAATTAGGCAAGCAGAATTGAAAAATCTACTAAAAAAATTAATATGTGATTTGAGTCACATAATCCCTAATTTGAATCATGATAGTTGTGATACGAATCACATGATTCGAATCACATAATCCTTACTATTTAGACGATTCACAATTCTATCCATTCACAATCTATTAATGATCATTAGCGAAGACTTAACCTTGACTAACAATTGTAATAAAACCTTAGTGAAAAATTTGCATGATACATTTTAAATATATTGTCCAAATTTAATTAATATTTTTATATTATTCTTAAGATTAAAAATAAATTATTGATACATATTCATTGAATATTCTCTGCAAAATTAGTCTAGAGTAGTAAGTTCTATTAAAAAATGTAGTCATAATATATATATATATATATATATATATATATATATATATATATATATATATATATATATATATATATATATATATATATATATATATATATATATATATATATATATATATATATATATATATATATATATATATATATATATATATATATATATATATATTATGACTACATTTTTAAATAAGATTTGAATATACTCTTAAATAAGATTTGAGTTTTATAATATAAAATATCATAGCTCTTCAATTTATATATGACTTTTAATTTTTTGTATCAATGAGTACAATGTTGAAGTGAATAAAAACTATAAATTTCTCAAATCTAGAGACCATCTAAAACTACACCAGCTCAAATCCAGAAAGGTTAATGGGTTAAACCCAACTAAGTGAATAACCTACCACCGTTGAGGTGGTTGAAGTCTAGTAAAATATCCTCCGACATTGCTCTCATGTTCGGTATCAAAATATCATGGTCATCGTCATCACAACTTCCACTCGATTTTTTTTGTGAATAAGGAATTGTTGACTCACAAGTGAAAACTTGAGCATCATTGCCCTTTGGCTCATCAAACTGCGACATCATCACATCAGATGAACTCAAGTTTCCAACACTTGAAGACGATACAGCTTCTTGGGAAACAAGCAAATGATTTTTTGTAAGTTCATTTTCAGGATATATGACTTTTGATTGAGTTGAGAGAATTTGAGCATTGATGTTCCCTGTTTGATTAAAGTGCGTCATTACAACATTAGGTGAATTCATGTTTCTTACAACTTTAGCAGTAGATAATATTCTCTTTGATAACTTGTTTTGAGAGGTACCAATGACAGATTTATGATTATATTTTGGCTCTTTATGGTTGTGTTGTCCTTTATATGTCACGACATAAGTGTTCTCTTTGTTTTTGCTTTTTTCTACTAGTTTTTTTGCCGAACAATCTTTGAAGCTGCTACATTTGTAGTAGCTCCTGCAAAATTATAACACTACATCATAACATTTTTAATGCATACAAATATGTTAAAGTATGAGTTTTTAATGTATAAAAACCTTGGATGTGAAGACCCTTTGATAATTTTTTCTCCATATTTTCTCCATGTCCACGGATCTTCTTTGATCTTCTCTACACTCAAATGACACTCCAATATCTTCGTATTATTATTCTTCCTGTAAAAAACAAAAAGTAAATATAAGTTGGACAAAATGCTTTAGGTTATCTATATAAATTGGACATATTAAACGTAAAAAGGTTGATTAATGATATAAATAAATATAATACCTTTTCCAAGATTTTCGTTTTGGATGTTGTGAAAGTGTATTCGGTATAAGCCCAAAGCTAGTTTTGGGTGCTTGAATTGGTAGTTGATTGCGCTCTCTCTGGAGTTCGTGGAGAACCGATGGATGATTGTATGCAAGATCAAAATGCCCAGTTGTAATTTCAATGTAGGGAGCAGGTTTGGGGAACCGACAAATATTGGAATATTGGTTGGTTCCATTAATATTAAGTATGGAAGGAGAAGCAAAGGTGGAGTTGGGAGTCATGAAAGTGGTGGTAGTAGTGACAGGGGTAACGACAGCAGAGATAGTGGTGTTGGGATTAAAATTAGGTATAAACCTTCCTAGCTGTAAGAAATCATTTGATTTGAGTGGCGAAAAAGGAATTGGGCTATTTTCATAGGACATGGTAAAATCATCAAAGTAAGATGGTGTGTAGTTTTGAAGTGATATAACCTTATTCATAGTAGTGGTGGTGGTGGTGGTGGTGGTGGTTGGGGTTTGAGGTGAAGATTCAAAAATGGTGGAAGGAGTTAAAGAGGTAGCTTTGCAGCTACGCACAATGGCAAAGAGATCCCAATCAACATTATCCATGGGAGAAAAAATAATACTAACTTATATATATAAAAACAAAGAGAAGCAAGATATTTGATGGTGAAGCATGACTACACTCGAGACTTCATCACTATTTATAAGAAGAAACAACATTTTTCTAAATAAAAATAAGAATAATAAAATAATTGATATTTCCATGGACAATTATGATTGTAAAATTTATATTTTTTTTTCTTTTTTTCTCACTCATTAATGACATATAAATTTATATATTTTTCTAACTCGTTAATATATAAAAGTTGTTGACTTATAAATATAAACATGATTAATTTAAAAGAAAATTAAAATATAAATAATACAATTGTCGAAAAATGAACTTTGAATAAAAACTTTTATATATATATATATATATATATATATATATATATATATATATATATATATATATATATATATATATATATATATATATATATATATATATATATATATATATATATATATATATATATATATATATATATATATATATATATATATATATATATATATATATATATATATATATATATATATATATATATATATATATATATATATAAACAGCGAAAAGTTCAACTTACTACCAAATTTTGTTGTTTTAGATTACTTCAAATCATAATTTTTAAATTTAATATAATCTAATGAATTAACATTTTTATTTAATTATAAAAAAACTTTTATTCACAAATGAATGAACATTTTAATTTATTAGTATATAGAATTCTTTTATATTGGCCAACACGTCCTCAAATAAACACTGTTTAAAAGAAGAAATATGATGAACAAAGTTTTAAAAATATTAAAATATTGAAGATATAATTAAAATTTATAAAGTTAGCTAATTTAAATTAAATTTTATGATACACAATCATAAAATTGTAAATAAAATGTTTAAATTGACTTATCATTTCTATTTTATTTTTTTGGCATAAAAGTTTCAATAATAATTAAATTAAATTTTATTAAGCGAAAATATTTTATTTTTTAATGGAAACTTGACATTTTCTCATATTGAAAATAGTCTTTATACCATTTAGTTTTATCATTTTAACGTGGCTCTCATATAGTGTGAAGATAATAATTTATTGATCATATAATAATGCATCTTTTTACTTTGAAAATGAAAATGTGATTTATTATTTTGGTCAAAATAATTTTTTATTTTTGTTAATTTTATTTAGGTTAGTTTCTTGATTTCTTTGTATTTTTCTTTCATTTATATTATATTTATTTAAAAAATATAATAATTATTTTACTAAAAAAATTGAAAATAGTATTTAAATTTATAAAAAAAATATTTATTTAGGTAAAAAGTGTAATTCAAGAATCATATTGAGATGGAAAGTATGACTTCTTTTTATATATTTAATTGTCAAAGAATAGAAATGAATATTCTAAGGAATAATAGGTCAAGTTCACAATTTTTCTTACAAAGTCAAAGTCAATGGCAATGAGTATTTACTTTACACTTTTGTCCTTATCATCCTCATTTCAAAGTCACAAACATGTATTTTGTGTTGGATTTTCTAACAATAAATTTTGAAACATAATATACAAGTTTAATGAGATAATTTGTAATGACTTTTAACGTTAAGGGCCCAGTTGTTTTAGTTTTAAAAAAAAGTTTATTTTGCATTTTTAAAAATTAATTTTATAAAAATGTTATTTAAAATATTATAAGTTTTTTAAATTTGTATTTTATAAAATAAAAAATTCAATTCTTAATCTTATAACGTAAATATACATTATTAAATATAAAAACATGGTCAAAATCATATTTTTACTCAAAATAAATTATCTAAAAAATAATTTTTATGAAACGTTTTCTGAAATAATTTCAAATTAAGTAATTATTTTTTTAAAAAATTTTATATTCAAAAAAATTTATAATAAAAGAAAGAAATACTTAAAGCACACCTCTTCCCACTAGACCATGCTAGTTAGTGACTTATATTTCTCAATATTCATACTTATATATAATATTTCATCTTTTAAATAAAATACAAATATGTATTTATAATATTAAACAAATGTATATATTTATTTCGCAATATTCATACTTTAATATATATATATATATATATATATATATATATATATATATATATATATATATATATATATATATATATATATATATATATATATATATATATATATATATATATATATATATATATATATATATATATATATATATATATATATATATATATATATATATATATATATATATATATATATATATATATATATATATATATATATATATATATATATATATATATATATATATATATATATATATAGTGGCGGAGTCAGAAAATTTTTGAAGCCTGGGCAAAAATTTAAAGACAATAAATTCATATTGTATATATAAATAGTTATTAATCAAAATAAAATATTTTTAATTTAATTGATTTCGACAGAATTTTAACACTAATATATCCATATCCAATTTGAGGCTGATATTAACATGGAATATCATTTCATGTGATTCATAATAATTCTTGAAATTAGCAACAAGTTAACAACATAATTTTATTTACTAACTAATGTAACTACAAACTAAATTTAAAATACAAATTCCTAGTTAACATCAATTGAACCATATAATTTAGAGTGAACATAAATTGAAGAATTGGACCTACTATATTTTTTATATTATTTGAAGATAAAATTTATTCTTTTCTTCTTTTTTTTACACCACTATACATCTTTTTTTTTATAATTTTAGTAGCTGCTACTTTTATGTTAAATTTTTTTTTCAAGTATTCAATTTTTGTTTTTGGTTAATTTGGTCATAAATAGCAACTTTATTTTAATTTTGCACTTTTTGTAATGTAGTTGAATTTAAATATTATCATATAAAAAAATTAATATATTGTATGCTTAATTGCATAAAAAAGGAAAAAAAAAATTATGTTTTATTTGTGAAAAATGTTTAAATTACGGTAGTTAAAACTGCCATTATCAACGACAAAAAACTGCCATGAAAAATTTTATTCAAAAGTACTATTTTTCTGCATTTTCGTTAATTGTGGCGGTTTTAACCGCCATAATAGCACTTATTAACCGCCACAATTTTCATATTCTTTTATAAAAGAAGGAAAAATTTTGGGGCCGAGCCCGAGCACATGCCCAGTCTGGCCGGGCCTTAAAACCGCCTATATATATATATATATATATATATATATATATATATATATATATATATATATATATATATGACATATCTAGTAATAATTGGTAAGTTATATGAGAATATGAGAATTAATAAGATCTATTAGATTTAAAAAGAAAATATTGAGATTAAATCGTGATTTTCACAAAATTATAGAGAAATTATTGATCAAATTTTAAAAATATATTTTAATCTCAACATTTCCTTTTTAATTCTCATGATTCTAATTCATTCTCACATTCTCATATAACTTATCCATTCTCACTAGTATTAATATATATATATATATATATATATATATATATATATATATATATATATATATATATATATATATATATATATATATATATATATATATATATATATATATATATATATATATATATATATATATATATATATATATATATATATATATATCCAAAATAAAAATTAATTACTATTTAATTAAATGTAAAAAATAAATAAGATATTTAAATATTAATTAAATCAACAAATATATTCAATTAAGATATTAATTTAACTTAAATTAAATTGTAATTGAATTAAAAAAAGTCAATTAAAAGTATTTTTTAGTTCAATTAAATAGTATTTAAATAAAATTTAAATATATATTATATTTAAATATTGATTAAATAAATAAATGCATTCAATTAATATATTAAATTAATTTAAAATTAATTTTTAATTCAATTAAATATTAATCAATTCAATAATAATTTTTAATTCAATTAGATATTAATCAAGTAAATCGTATTAAATTCAAATTAAATAGTAATCAAATTATATGTAACAAATTTAATATATAAATTAATTATTTAATAATAAAAATTTATATGTGATTTAGTAATGTAAAACATATTATATAATATTATTTAATTTATATTATTAAATACTAAATAAATATTTTATAAATAATTAGTATTAAATATCATGTACTAAAAGTGTAATAATTTTTTTTAAAACAAAAGTGTAATCAAAATGTTTAAAATATATTTGGGTAATGTTGACTTGTGCTTTTAGGGTATAAGTTAAGAATTAAATGTAGAAATAGTATTTTAGAAATTGTGTACTGATTTTAATAAAAATATAAAATTAATTTTTTTATTGATTTTTTAAAGCAAATTTTCTATAAGTAGGTTTGTTAATTTGTACCCCGGAGGGAACCTGACTTCAACTGCTCAATGTTGCAAAATTTTGATTTTTTAAATACTAAAGTTTCCAATTTTAAAAAATTAAAAATAAAAACCATGTATATTTAATAAAAAAAGTAATTAAAAATTATAAGAATGTCATCTTAACAATCCGAATTATTAAAAAAATTAAAATAAAAAAAAAAGTCTACTGCATATGATATGAGGAGAATAGATATTAATCCTACCTAAAGTTATATTTTTAAAAATAACTATTTAATCAATTTTTTATTTAAATGTTTTTTAAAAAAATAATTGTAAATGTTTTTCAAAAAAAATATATTACACTGTACAAATCATTTAAAAAAAAAATTTGAATCAATGGGCCTTAAATGCATTCTTATCTCTAAAAAATTTTTTTTTTTCCATAAATTCAAACGTTAGAGTAATATATTTAATTATTTATCTAGAAGAAACAATTTTTATTATAAAAAAAATACATACAAAGTATGCTGCAATTCATATATTCTATTTTGACTATTTATTAGGGAAAAAATACCAATTGCATATAAGCATATATAGTTTAATTTTAAGAGTTAAAATTGCATACATACTAAAAATATAAAATGGTATAAAGTAAAAATAGTTTTATAATTTATTAAGATATCACTATTTAA